AAAAAAAATTGCATTAATTATTCATTGATATCGTAAAATAACTTATATCGTGGTACAAATTTTTTCCAAAATAATTTATAATAGAAAACGGAGGAAATATTATTTATTTATTGTTTCTGCTCTAGCAAAAGACACATACTCTTCAAGTGTATTTCTAAGTTTTTAAATTTCATTTAATTTCTCTCCCAATTTGACACAATCCCTTTTATGAGAACACATCATTGACTTATTATGTAATTGATTACATTTCAATTGTAATTAACAAGTTATTTACTGACCTGGTATTACTAATTTCATGACTAATTCTTATATTGAGATATTGTCATTATGATCAGCATGATTCTTGGTGTGAAGATCAAAACATCATTATATATATATATATATATATATATATATATATATATATATATATATATATATATATATATATATATATATATATATATATATATATATATATATATATATATATATATATATTTTGTTATCGAATAAAATAAAACTTGTACATATCATATACTACCTCTGCCCCTAATTATAAAATTATTTTGAATTTTTTTGGTCTGTTTTTATAAGACCCTCTTCAACTTTTAAAATATATTAATAATTTTTTTTCAAACATACCTCTAATTATATTTTATCTTTTCCTGCAATATGTAATAAATACATTTGTATAAACATTAAATGTTTCTCTTTCATAAGGATAAATTTATAAAATTGTACAAATTGTCAATAAATTTAATACTCTAACAAACTTTCTTAATTAACGTGATTTAGCTTTTAGGATCTTATATTTAAGGACGAAGGTAGTACTTTCTAACTGACAAAAGAACAAAGACGAATCCTAACATCTAAGAAATAGGGCGTACAATTTATTGGTCGATAATACTCCATCCTCATCCCTAAAATAAGAGGTCTATTAAGTTTCACATTTATGATAAATAGTCAATGTATCCATCTGATGGCCGCCCCCTTAATATCCATCCTTGTTTCAGAGAAACATTGTCGGAAGGTCTTCTATCTAAAATCTGTATCATGACATCTGCTGAATCCTGCATATGAAGATTGACAGACATAAGATCAACAACTTTTTAGTTGGTTGAAAAACTCTATGACTGCAAAATAGTAACACAATTGTTGCACTATGGAAACTCAAAACAACTTTGGGAAAAAGCTCAAAGTCTAGCGGATGCACATACAAGGTCTCAAGTAACCTACTTAAAATATGAATTTTGTAGTATCAAGAAAGGATAAATGAAGAGGCAAGACTATGTAACATGGTGAAAAACCTTGATGACAAACTTAAACTTGCAGGGAATCCAATATATGCAACAAATCTAATCATTCAAACCTTAAATTGTTCAGACTTTGAGTATAACCTTGTGGCAAAAAAGGGTATCCTGATGGACTGAAAACCTGAAAGGGCGGTCCAGACAAGAGTTAAGGATTAAAAGCGTACGACTATGTCCCATTGGATCATTACATCCAGCTTTATTACCAAGGTCAAAAGTTCAAATGGTACAAGATCAGTTCAATCAACTTCTTCCAACGACAAGGGATGATGTTCGAAAACATAGCCTTCCACTTGTTTTTTTGTTTTTTGTATTCTTTTCATCTCACGACGACTTCCTCTTACTAGGATTTCCATCTCTTTGTACAAAAACGCCTGTTTATAGGTAAATTTTGGGAGATCTCCATTCTGCATTAATAACAGTGGAGTTCACAACAATCATATCAATTCTGTAGAAGACGGTGATAGTGGCTGCGACCTAGACAGTTGGATCTTCCCTACCACCGTCAATGGGCTCAATAAGTGGAAGGCTGAAGACTTTATACCAATATCCTTCGGTCAGGAGTAAATTCTATTTTCTGTTTTTTCTTGCTTTTAAGTTTTGGTTATGTAATTTAAACAATGACTTTAAGCCTTGTGCCTTACCAGGGGCACAACGGTCCATTTGTTAGGGTTGTCATTATTCATAAGCATATTTTTATTTAATAAATCATCAGAAGTTTGCACTCAAATTTTGCACTCTTTATCTTTCTTTTACTTTATTATTTTCAAAATAACTATGTATTCTTACACACCCATGCAATAAATTGCAGATCCACATCCACCATGGATCCCATTGATAATAGTTATGCTATTGCCAACTATGACTTCGAAAATCCGATCTACCAAGCCGAAGACAAATGTGAGGAAAGTTGTGAAATACCCGGAGAGCTTGCTAGGCTGTTAATGCAAGAGGAAATATCCATACAACTACATGAAGAGCCAGTCAAGGTTGTGAACCTGGGTACTGAAAAAGACAAGAGATGAATAAAGATAGGTGTCAACCTAGAATACAATGTCAAAAAGAGATTAATTCAGATGTTGCATGATTATGTGTAGATTTTTGCTTGGTCTTACAAAGACATGCCAGAGATCGATGCTGATATTGTGGTTCACCGTCTACCGATGAAGGGAGGTTGTCTCCCTATAAAGCAGAAAGTTCGTCGTATGCATCCTGAGATGTCAGAAAAGATCGAGTCTGAGGTTATAAAGCAATTCAATGAAATGTTCTTAGATGTTACATCCTATCCTCAGTGGGTTGCAAATGTAGTTTCAGTACCCAAGAAATATGGTAACGTGCATATGTGTGTAGACTACAGGGATTTGAATAGGGCAAGCCCCAAGACGATTTTCCGCTTCCACATATTGATGTTCTGGTTTACAACACCACTCAGCACAAGATATTTTCCTTCATGATGACTTCTTCGGATATAATCAAATCAAGATGGCACCTGAAGACATGGAGAAGACTACTTTCGTCATGTAGTGGGATACTTTCTGTTACAAAGTAACACCTTTCAGTTTGAAGAACGTCGATGCAACATATCAGCGTGCTATGGTAGCTCTGTTCCATGATATGATCCATCACGAGATAGAAGTTTATGTTGATGACATGATAGTCAGGTCTCAGACTGAAGAAGAACACCTCGACCACCTACACAAGTTGTTTGAGAGATTGAAGAAATACAAGCTGAGGTTGAATCCAAACAAGTGCATCTTCGGGGTAAGATCCGGTAAACTCGTAGGTTTCGTCGTCAGTGGTAAAGGTATTGGAGTTGATCCTGCCAAGGTTAAAGCCATTCAAGAAATGCCAGCTCCCCGTACTTAAAAGAAAGTCAGAGGTTTCCTAGGATGATTGAACTACATTACCAGATTTATTTCCCATTTGACCGCTACTTGTGAGTAGATCTTCAAGTTATTAAAGAAAGATCAAGTAGTGAAGTGAAACGACGATTGTCAAATAACCTTCAAAAAAATCAAAGAATATCTTCAGGAACCTCTGATTCTAATGCCACCGGTTGAAGGAAGACCTCTGATCATGTACCTGACAGTATTAGAGAACTCAATGGGGTGTGTATTGGGGCAACATGACGGGTCTGATCGAAAAGAGCATGCAATATACTACCTTAGCAAAAAGTTTACCAACTGTGAAACAAGATACTCACTGCTCGAGAAAACTTGCTGCACTTTGGCATAGGCTGCTCGCCGACTAAGACAATATATGTTGACTCATACTACTTTGTTGATCTCTAAGATGGATCCAATAAAATATATATTCGAGAAACCCGCTCTCTCCGGAAGAATAGCAAGATGGCAAATGGTCTTGACAGAATACGACATTCAGTACACTACTCAGAAGGAAATCAAAGGAAGTGTATTGACAAATCATTTGACTCATCAGGCTGTAGACGACTACCAGACTATGAATTTTGAGTTCCCATATGAGAATATTATGCTGATTACTGATTATGAAAAACCTGGACCGTGTGAAGGACCCGAGCCGGGATCCCAATGGACTATGATTTTCGGTGGAGCTTATAACGCACTTGGTAATGGAATTGGTGCTGTGATTGTCTCTTCCAGGGATTGCCATACACCCTTCACTGCCAGATTATATTTTGACTGTACCAACAACATGGCAGAGTTGGAAGCGTGCATCATGAGTATCAAAGCTGCTATCGATATGAGAATCAAAATCTTAAATGTATATGGGGACTGAGCCCTAGTAACCAGTCAGATTAAGGGCGAATGAGATACGAAGCATTCAAATCTCATTCCTTATCAGGAGCATGTGTTGACGTTAATCTCATACTTTGAAGAAATCACTTTTGAACACATTTCGCGAGAAGAAAATCAATTGACAGACGCATTAGCCACCATGTCATCTATGTTCAAAGTCAAATGGAATAATGAAGCTCCTCGAATTACTGTCCTATTATATTCACTTAAAAAAACATGCATTTTAGTGCTGGCTGTTAAATATGTTTCGCTAGTATCTCATCCCAAAAACTAAAATAAAAGATATACTCCTGCAATATAGGAAAATCTTCTCTTGAAAATTAATGTTGCACGATCATCTTATTATAGGACAAAATTCAAATACTACCAAACAAAGTTGATTATTTATCAGCTTCATTTATTCAAAACTCAGTGTAAAAGGCAATTGATCATAACTATAAGCTAAGAAATTAAAATTTCAATTATCAATTCCTTCACAAAGTCAAGCAATATCTTACTTACAATATATTTATTTTGAATGTCATATGTGTGTCCAAGTCATAAGTTACAAATTACAACGATCTTACAAATTAACAAGGTGATATCTAAAGTTTAAAAAAAAGAAGGCTAATCTAAGATTAGAAAACCAGAAAGGAAAAACACACACTCACACTGACACAAGCAAATGGTTGGAAAATGCATGCAAGCATTTGCATTGCACAAAAACAGAGAATTTTTACATTATTTCTTCATCTTCTTCAACAAATGAAAACTTAATGAGGCTATCACAAATCTCTAACTATCAAACCAAGCCTACAAAACTTCTTCATTTTTCAGATTTGACTATTTGAGACATTCTTCTTGAACATGCATGTTTTGAGCCATTCTTTGTTCCTTCTTCTAGAAAACACCAAACATTGCAACATAGAAGAACATGGTGCAATACAATTTTCTAAGGCCAAAAATCCAACCATTGAGAACTATTACATGACTGGTCTAAGATAACACTTGGATCAACATTGTACCATTTTTCAAGTGCTGTCAAAGGAATTTCTTCATTTCTCAAAACCTGATTTTCTCTGTCATCAACTTTTTCAGTCCTTGTTAAGCTTCTTTCATTTTGATCATCTGAATAAATTACCATTCTCTCCTCCAATCCCTCATTCGCAATCCTTTCCTTTGTTTCAGCCATACAATTTCTATATCCATTTCCTGATCCACCATCTTCTGTGCTGTTTTCCTTACCTTCCCTTCCACCATCATGATATGTTTCCACCATATAACTTAGCTTCTGAACCTGCTTAAAAAAATCAAACTGTTAAGTTAATGTCAAGCCTATAAGTCTTAAACTCGGCTCGTTTAATCGATCGACCTGAGCCGAGTCTGAATAATTCACATCAATAACCATTTAACAAGACCAAAACTAACTAACACATACCTCTGATTGCAAAGACTCTTTCTCTTCCTTAAGAGACTGAAACTTCAAAGCTAAATTATCATACTCAACTTTAAGTTTTCTATATTCTTGTTCAATCCTCTTTGATTTCCACCTAGCTCTTCTGTTTTGAAACCATATAGCAACTTGTCTAGGCTGCAAACCAAGATCTCTTGCAAGTTGCATCTTCTTCCTTGGCTCCAGCTTTGATTCTGACTCAAATATACATTCTAGTGACCTTATCTGTTCATCACTAAACCTTCTTTTATTCTCCACCTTCTTGTTTTTCTTCCTTGAACTCAAAGTTGATGTCTCCAAACAACTCATACTAGTTTCAACACCTTCATGAAGAATATTCTCTCTTTCCTCCATAATAATAAAAAACTAGGTGAAACTGAATTGGCTGCAGAATATCTATATATATATATATAGCTATAAAAGAAACTATGTCAAGGTTAATTCTTTCACGTTATAGGAACTTGTGTTGGAAGAATCATAGTGATGACTTATGATACTAGAAAACGTGTGGTGTTTTGTTTACTATCTTTTTTTATTTTGGTTCTTTGTAGGCTATGTAATGGTCCTATCTATTTCATTTGTAGAAGGAACTCTTAACTTGTTCTGAGTTGTCATATTCAAGTTACACGTCTCTGTTGCTTTCAATACTTTATTAGTAAGTTTTATCTTTATATGATTAATCAGGATTATGAATGTATATTGGTGAGAAATTGTTGTAATTTCACAATTTTGGCATTTCATTAGTACCTAATGTTTAGGATTCTTGACCAGATGCTCTTGTTGCTATAAATATTGGTAACATGATTTTTCTTGTGTGAAGTGATCATCTAAAATACTACAGCTATAAATGATGTTTAAGACTTTGAAGAAATATTAATTAAGAAGTCACATGATTATGAAGAATGGGTCAATAATAATTAATAACTAAGAAACAGATCTAAACAAAGTTTAAGGATGAAGATGGTGATTTCAACTCTCATTAAGTGTTTGAATGTGATGTTTTATGTTGTATTGTGGTTTTAAGTTCAAGGAATGTTAGAGGTTACTTTGTTAGCAAGGACTTGTGTTACTGTCAATAGTAGGACTAAATCTATTTTATCTTTTGTTGTGAGACTAGATAATCTTAACTTATGTCATTGTTGTTATAAGTTGTTTTCTGAGGTTAATTAGGTGTCAAAATGTAATTAGGACAAGAGGCAAGTTCTATCGCCATACCTTAACAGATATTTGTATGATAAACTCTTTTAAGAAGGATACCTCCCAACACAAGTATGTCAAATATTCAACATGTGTTGAGATATATGAACAAAGACGAGTTCGATGTCGAATATGTGTAACATTAATACTATTGAAGAAATAAATATTTCAAATAGGATGTAAAGGTTATAAATTTTGTATAACCGATTACCATTTTGTTAATAGCAAAAGAATTAAATAAAAGTGATCTGAAATCGGTGATAAATTTGATAGATTATCATTTTTGCCATAATCAAATAATAGTTTCATTTAATTCGTTACAACTTTTATATAACTGATTACATGCTTGAAAATTTTGTTTTTTTCTTCCTGTTAGTTGGTTTGCTGTATAGTTGTCTATTGATATATTAATAATCTAGTTTGAGTTAATAATATTGTCACTATTTTCACCATATTCTCTCTAATTCTCATACTCTCTATATTTTCATTCTTGTTCATTGTTGTTTTGTGATTGAGTTTTGCTCCAACATTTGACATCAAGAATTTGGTTATTTGATAAAAAATATAGTGTGCGAAAATGCTTTTCATCTCTAATGAACATATCTCTGCAAATCTTTCAATTCTCAATATGAAGAATTACGATAAGTGCTGCAAACAGATGAAGGTGTTGCTTGATTATCAAGATGTTCTTGAAGTGATAAATAATAGTGTTAATCCACTTGTAGAAGGTGTAACGACCGCACAAAGGACTACACATAAAGAAGAGAAGACGAAAGATTTGAAAGTTTTGTGTCTCATTTATCAATGTGTTAATGCTGATAACTTTGAGAAAGTTGGTGACTGCATATCCTCAAAGAAAGCTTGAGAAATTATGGAGAAAAATTATGCAGGAGTTGATAAAGCAAAGGTGACGAGGTTACAAACTCATAAGAGAAAGCTGAAACTAATTCAGATGGAAGAGAAGGAAACCATTAGTGAATTTACTTCAAAAATCACAAGGTTGGTGAATCAAGTGAAAGCACGTGAAAAGACAATCACTGAGCAGAATGTGATAAGTAAAATCTTGAGATCTTTAGAATGAAAATTTGATAATGTAGTTGTTACAAAGTTCTATTGAGGCTCACGAGCAGAAAATGGAGGAGAGGAACATTGACAAGGCAAAAACTGAAATTTCTTCGCAGGTCCGTTTTGTTGGAAAAGACAAGAAGGTGAAAGGAAAGCGGTCCATGAATAGAGGTAGAATAAACTATCCGAATAATGGTGGAAGAAACTCCCAAAATTCCAACAATTCAATATTTCAAAAGGACAAAAGCAACTACAACAAAAGTGGTGGATAAAGTAATCACAAAGGTGGCAACAATAAGGGAAGAAGAGGAAGAAATAAAAATTATAAGAGCATACTAGTAGCAGAGGGGATTGACGATGTATCAATCACGCAAAATAATTAAGCATTCTTTAATTAAAGATATGTTGTATATTCTTGGAATCAAGTGTAATATTTTAAGCATTGGTCAATTGCTTGAAAGAAATTACAAGATTCACATGGAAAACAAAATGCTAAAAGATATGGATGCAAATGTGAGTTTGATCCTAAAGGCCCATATGGCTTAGATCAGAACGCTCAAGGTTGAGTTGAAAGTAATGGAACATATGTGTCTTACAACTTCATTTAGTAAGGATGAATGTATATGGCACTATAGGCTTGGCATTTGAATTTCAGAGATCTCAATGCTATAGAGAAAAACAACATGGTTACGGGGTCACTATTGATCAATATGCAAACTAAAGTATGTGAAGAGTATGTGCAGGCCAAGCAACACATAACAAAATTTTAAAAAAGATGCAGTTTACAGAACCAAGTGTCATCATGAGATGGTGTATTCAGATGTTTGTGGACCGATCCAAGTTGACTCAATTTGAGGCAATAAGTACCTTGTCACCTTCGTTGATGATATTAGTAGAAAATTGTGGACTTACTTGATAAAAAAATATGTGGTGCTAGAAGTGTTCAAGAAGTTCAAACCCATGGTAGAAAAACAAAGTGATCACAAAATCAAAACTCTAAAGAAAGTTAGTGGAGGTGAATATGTCTCGAATGATTTTGGGAAATTGTGATTAAGAGGTCATTGCCTCATGTTGAGATTGGAACTACCTCATGATTCTGGAAGAATACCTTTGGCGTGTTACAAATTTAAGTCAAGATTAAGGAATGCATCTTATGCAATGATTTTAAGGAATGTTAGTAAAAGAGCTTCTGACCGTGAATTATTCAAGGAAGCTTTGAAGGTCTTCTAAAGCTTAACTTCTGATGTTCTAAGTTCTGAAGATGCTGAAGACAAGGTTTTACTAAATGAAGTTCTGAAGATCTAAAGACATTCTTCTGAAGACCAAGTGCTGAAGACTGAGAAGGAAAGAGTTCTCTAAACATGCACTAAAAGGTTCTAATGACTTAGGTTCTGGTCCTTCTACAACGTGCTTCATCAAAAAATATATCAGAAGCCTCTGAAGACATAGAAGACAAAGATGAATACTAAATGATTGTGTGTGATGGTGAGTATAAAGTACAAAAGTACATTGTGACATCTACTCTTTAGAGTAGTGCAAGGACAAACTTTTTTGTACTATTGTCTACCAGTCTCACCATGACCATTGGGAATAATACAAATGTATTTGTATTTCTTATTCTATCCTCCAACAAATCTCTTCTTTTTATCTACAAAAAAGTACATGGAAGAATTTTAAATCAATGAATCAATTCAACAAAACTACACTAAACCGCTACACAAAAACTATGTAGAGAAATATTTTGTATAGTTTTGTAAATAAGCAAGGAGATTTTGCTCGTATCTCGCTATCAACACTTTTGTGTTATTGTACTTAAACGTTGTGTAATCTTCTTGTGTAGAAGCCTCTTTATATACACATATTTGTAATAAACTGTTATTGTAGATTCCTTGAGAGACTCTATATAGTCTGGATTCTCAAGAAGACTTTGGCTGCGGCCATAGTGGTTAGAAATAAGGATCATCAGACTTATTGGAGGTTCCAATAGGATTGATCAGAACTATTGTGGTTGTGCATAATCTGGTTGATTATAGTGGATTAAGTACTTGTGCATAAGGAAAATCACCTTGCAGAGTGGACTAGAGTAACTTAGTTAACAGTGAACCAGAATAAACATAATCATGTTCATCTATTTTTATTCACTTGTTATTTTTATGTTTTTGAGTTGCAAAAAGATTATATTTGGTGCAACCCAATTCAAACCCCTATTTCTTGTGTTTCTCTCACATTCAATTGGCATCAGAGCTCAGGTTTTGGTATTGATATCTATCAAACACTTAACCGTGTCAGATAAAGATTTAGACGAGTTTTAGAAACACTATGGTTGATCCTGTTCCGCCACCACCTGCTCCAGTTTCTGATAAAGATAACTAAAATGCTCAACCTCCCATTTTTTATGTTGAAAAGTTTATGTACTGGAAAGATAGACTAGAATGTTTCTTTCTAGGTCATGATGTTGATCTCTGGGATATGTTAGTCGATGGATATGAACATCCTACAAATTCAAATGGAAAGCAAATTTAAAGGAAAGCTATGACTGATCAACAAAAGAAAGATTGTAAGAATCATCACAAAGAAAGAACCATATTGATGAATGTTATTTCTTACATTGAGTATGAGAAGATCACAAATAGAGACTCAACTAAGTCTATATTTGACTCTCTCAAAATGACTCATAAAGGAAATGATCAAGTCAAGGAAACCAAGGCTTTGACCTTGATTCAAAAGTACGAAGCCTTCAAGACGGAGTATGATGAAACAATTGTGATCATGTTCTCAAAGTTTCAAACCTTAGTTGCATAATTGAAAGTTCTAAACAAAGGTTACTCAACAGTAGATCACGTGAAGAAAATTAGCATAAGCTTGTCATCCAAATGGAGGCCTATGGTGACTGCGCTCGAGCTTGTAAAGGATTTGAACAACACTTATCTAGAAGAACTGGTGAGTTCTATAAGAAGAAATGAGATTGAGCTAGATCAGGATGAACCTCAGAGAAGAGGGAAATCTATTACGCTCAAATTTTTTAGGAGATCTGAGAAGTCCAAAGCTCTTTAAGCTGAAGAGATTGAGGATTTGGAAGAAGATTATGATGA